AATCACATGTTGGAAGGGGCCCCAGGACACACAAATAAATGCACACAAATAAAAGTATTTCACATATTTTCCTATATTTTCTGGGTTTCTGTCTCTCCCCCCACTGCCCATATTTTCCCATATTTTCTGGGGAATCGACGATTAATTGTGTCTGTGCTTCTTTCCCTCCTGAATGTTGGAAACCACCCGCCCTCCATCCGTGAAGCTGTTGCATGTGGCGAGCTTCGGGGTCAGGATGGCAAGGACATCTAAGGCGAAGCGCCCGGCCTGCCCCACCGACACGTCTGGGGGTGTGATGGGAAGGAGCTGTTATTCATAACGAAAGTGGACGGAGGAGGAAGGGAGGGAGGGGAGGAGAAAGAGGGAGGGAGGGAGAGGGGAAGGAGGAGGAGGAGGAGAAAAGGAGGTGGGAGGAAGAGGAAAGGAAGGTGGAGGAGGATGGATGCAGGAAGCAGAGGGCGAGGGAGGGGAGGGAGGGGATGGGGCGAGGGGCTTACAGAGGAGGCTGGAAGGGGAGAAGCCCGCCACTCCGTCCCTCTCTCGCTCCGACTCTCTCTCTCTCTCTCAACACACACACACACACACAAACACACACTCACTATCAAGGCAATTGACAGTGATTTCACGATGCCGAGGCAGCACTTCGCTGGGCATGTCTGGACGACGAGTGGGCTCCCATCGAAGCTACCAGAAAAAAATGCTGAGTCATCGCAGCAGTGCTCGCACTGAAGGCTCTTGCGCCCCTGGCAACTGCCCTGTCAAAGCCGGCCGTTTGGCACACTGGCGCGCAGCTCTGACGTTTTTTAAGGCGCATCCTCGCGCGCTGACGCAGTGCTCCATGCCCAACCGAACCAACACAGGCACGCTGGCCAACTGAACCAAGAAGCAGTCAAGAATGACTGAAGGGGCCCACAAACACACAAATAATACACACAAATCACAGGAATCCCCTATATTTTCCAATATTTTCTGGGTTTCTGTCTTCCCCGCCACTGCCCATATTTTCCCATATTTTCTGGGGAATCGACGATTAATTGTGTCTGTGTTTTTTCCCTCCTGAATGGCGAGCAACACGCGCAACCCGAGTCCAAGCACCTTGGCATGGGGGGCCAAAGGGCCCTGCCGGGCGCGCGGCTTCCCCCCCGTCCCCCCTGGACCCGCACCTCGACCCCGGGCGGCTTCGAACGGTCGCGGGGCCGCCCAGGGACCCCCGAGGAGCTGCAGGCAGCCAAGAGCCTCAGTCGGGTCGGGCAAAAGGGGGGGACAGCAGAGGGGTTGAGAATCGGCTCACGCAGCTGATTTTCCCGGCGCCTCCCGGCGACGGAGGCGGCTGTGTATCGAGGAAGGGGCCCCTCGGCGGAGCCGAAACCAGCTGCATGCAGCAGATTTCGTAACCCCCCCTTTCCCAATCCCCCCCCGTCCGTCCGGCCCGACTCAGGGCACCTTCCCACTCGGGAGCCCTCCTCCCGACGGACGGTGACCTCACCGCATCCGCTCCGCATCGGCCCGCGGACTCCGAGGCGACCCCTCCCCGGGCCCGCCCCCGGGCCAGCCGCGACAGGCCGCGAGCCCCGCCGTGGCGCCGAGGAGCCCCGGCGAGCCCCCGAACGAGAAACCACAACGAACAAAAAAAAAAAAAAAAATGAGAGACCCTCCTTTCTGGACGCCCGAAATGGGTACGGAAAGAATGGGTACAATGCCCAACAGCAGTTCCTGTTCATTTTGAACGGGCCTCGCTGTCCACGCCGCCGCGGCCTGTGTCCATTCGAGACTGGAGGCCGCCTGCCCAACAGCGGCCGCTGTTGGTTTGGGACAACATTTGTTGTTGGGCATCGTACCCATTTTTTCGGTACCCGTGTCGGGCGTCCAGATCCTTGCCCAATCTCCCCCCCCTTTCGTCCGGCCCGCGAGGAGCGCCGAGGGCGGAGGCGGCGGGCATTCTCTCCGGCCACGGCGGGCGGCGGCCCACGAGGAGTCCCCACACGGCCTGGGCCCGAGGCGCGGCCCCCAAAACTGGCCAGGGGTCGGTGGCTCAGAAGGGGGGTCCTGAGGGATGGGGTCCCAGGGGCGAGGCGCCTCACACAGTTGAAGGGGAACTGGGACACACAAATAAATACACACAAATAAAAAGATTCCCCATATTTTCCCATCTTTTCTGGGTTTTTGTATTCCCCCCCACTTCCCATATTTTCCCATATTTTCTGGGAATCGCCGATTAATTGTGTCTGTGTGTTTTTTTCCCCCCTGAACAGTGTAAGCCCGCCCTTGGATCCCTTCTTATTCTCGGAGCCCCATGGCTCGGAGCCCCATCTCCGATAAAAGTGGTCTTCAGGTCAGCGTCTTGACCGTAGTCGGCGGAACGCCAGGCGCGCGACGCTGCCCCCCTCCCCACGCCCACGGCAGCTGACCCATACTTATACTAAAGATGCGCGGTAAGGATGCAAGGGCTTTGGACGCCCATGCCGAGGCTCTTCGAGCGGGACTGGCCATCCAAAGCGGCCGAGGACGGGCCGAAGATCACCGAGGAGGCAAGGATGCAAGGATACCCTTGTTGAGGGATGAAAAAACGACCCTACCCTGGAATACAAGTGCGTGGTCTGTAAACCTCCTGGGAAACCCCAAAGCCTAGAGCCCACAGGACGCGGCACATCACGCAGGGTTTACCATGTCAGCCCACAAGAGTTTCAGCGCGCAGCGCCTCGTAAACCAGGGTAGGGGTGTTTTCTATGCCCTTGACCTTGGGAAGCCGCTCGTGCTCACTATCAGGGGTGCACTCTGCGGCTCGCCGCCCAGCGCTCTGGGCAGGGGGGGTCGCCCGACGACCCCCCCAGGAAGCGTGCGCGCGGGATGCCGAGAGAGCCGATGCCCGCGCTGTGGAGGGAGAGTAGGGGAACAAAAAGTGACATGAACAGAAAAACTCGGAAGTCCGCGCGGACTTCTCGGATCGGCGCAGGACCCCCCTCCCTGGCGCGCGGAGCGCGCCAGGGGCGGCGCCGGAGGCGCCGCCGGGGGGCCCCAGCGCCGATCCGAGAAATCCGCGCGGACCTCGAGTTTTCATGTTTGTGTCACTTTTTGTTTCCCTAGAGGGGGGGGTCCTGCGCTGGCGCTCGGGCGCCCGGTGTCGTGCTGGAAGCTGGAGCATGGCCACAGCAGCGCGCGTCGAGAGAAGGAGCCACTTCGCCAGTGGCCGATGCCACGTGGACGCACCCGAGACGAAGGGCGTGGAGCGCCCGAGCTCGAAGAGCGCATGCGCCCCCCTCCAAACCTATGGCTGCCCTTGGCCCTGGAGGCAGGAAACAAACGTCATGCAGCCGATACAGGAAGCCCTTTCACCGAATGCCTGGGGCCACATGGGGACACCAAGAGCGAGGCACGTCGTGAGGTGGGAGGCCCAACGGCGGAGAACAGAAGGTGGGACGCGCAGAGATATACTCATACTATATGTCCTCCTTGGAAGCGCGCGTCCGACCCGAACATATAGTATGCCCATCTTGTAGTAGATCGTTTCCCGAGCGGTGTGGCCAGAAAGTGCCCACCACGACGCATGTACTATGATATCGATCGGTGCGCGCATCGCTCCTGGGGGGGGCGACGCACACACAGTGTTCGTCTGTTGGGGCGCCGCCGATGAAGGACCCCCCCGCGAGACCCAGGTTGCTCCAAGATCTTGGCGATCCGCGCGCCAAGAAAGGGAGGGCCCCGCGCCGATCCAAGACACCCGCGCGGGCATCCGAACGGCATCCGCCGAACCCCCTCGGAGGCGTCTGCGAGGGCGGAGTCCAATGAAGGGGCCCTGGGACACACAAATAAATACATACAAATAAAAAGATTCCCCATATTTTCCCATATTTTCTGGGTTTTTGTATTCCCCCCCACTTCCCATATTTTCCCATATTTCCTGGGAGTCGACGATTCATTGTGTCTGTGTGTTTTTCCCCTCCTGATATGATCATGCCAGACTTTCTGCGCCGAACCCCCTCGGAGGCGTCCGCGAGGGCGGCGTCCAAGAGGGGGGGGGCGAAGTCGCAGGTCATGGCCCGAGCCCCGTGCGCGGAACGGGGGGGGGGGCCAGGCGGCGCGTGGAAGCCAGAAGAGGCCGTGAAGCCCGGGGAGCCCCGGGCACGATGCCCACCCCCACCCTCGCCGTCCCGCCCCCCCTCGTGGCCGCCCCCGACTCTCGTGCCGGCTGCCGCGTGGAGCGGCTGCCCGCTGGGCCGACCGAGGAAGCCCGCCTCGGAACAGAGCGCCCCCTCCGGGGCAGCTCCGCCCCCCCGCGCCCGAAGCACGGCGCTCTCGGGCTGGGGGCCGCTCGACGGAGGCGTGCGCACCACCACCGCCGCCGTCCCCCGGGCAGCCGGCGGACTCTGAGATTGACCGCCCGCGGCGCCGAGGAAGACTAGAATAGGCGTTATTAAAGGAATCGTGATGGATTCTCTGTGTTCTTTCCTTAGGTCATACGAAGTCCCAGTCGCATCAACGAAAGAAATCCTGCAAAACGAAAGCCAAGGACAGAGGATGGAGAACTGCACAGCCGAGAGGGACAGAGGAACAGAGATCAGACAACCTGTCGCGGGTCCGCGCGGCTTCCTCGGAGCGGCGCCAGCCTTCTCATCTCCCATGGCGCGCCAGGAGCGCGCCATGGGGCGACGCCAGAGGCGCTGCTAGGGGAGTCAAGGGCCGATCCAATGAACCTCCGATCATGCACATGCAGGTTCAGGGCTCGACCAAAACAGTGTTTTTCGTTTCGTGTTTTTTTCGTTTTCGCTCGTTTTGTCTTCGCTCCACCTTGGCTACAAAGCGAAACCAAAACGACAACGGTCCACAAAATCGCCAAAACACCGTTTAGCTCGAGCCCTGATGGGAGTCAAAGGCCGATCCATTGGACCTCCGATGATGTCTATGCAGGCTTCTCTTCGAGAGGAGGCGGGTGCCAACCCCATATTTGTCCAGCCCTGCCTGCCTGAGCAGCACGGCTGTCGGCAGGATCCCTGCGCGCGTGTTTATGGACTGGGGCACAGCGGGCCGACGTCGGGGACCGCGGTGCCCGCCCACGCCCACACCACAATGCCGTAGTCGGGCACGACATCCAGCGTGCTCGCACCTTGAAACCCGCGCGGCGCCTGCCGGGCATCCAGGCGCTCGAAGAGGCCAGGGGCGAACCACTGGTACAGCTGGATCGGCTGCCTGCTGGACGGCGAAGGCGGGACAATGCCCTGAGCTTGGACCACCTGCTGCAACAGCGCGGACACGCGCGTGTCCCGCACGATGATTGTGACAACCCGCGCGCCCGGGTCCCCGTAGGGGCCAAAAAGCCGGATGCGCTTGCCCTCGATGACCCACGAGCGGAGGTAGAGGGCCGAGATGCCCGCCCCGCCCGTCAGGCTCCAAGCCTCCTTGAAAACCGGCGCCCCCTTCACCGCGATGCCGGCGATCGAGGCGCCGAAGATGGCGAGCGAGCCCGAGCCTCTGAACCGGAGCGGCTCCAGCCACTCCCAGCCGTGCCCCGCCGGCAAGGGCGCGCCGCTCCCCTCCCAGGCCGCGAACGACACCGCCACGGCCAGCAGCACCAGCCAGACCCACTGCCTGCCCAGCTGCGGCTCGCTACCTGGCGCCTCCGGGGCCTCGTCGGCAGCAGCCCGCGCCTCCGCGGGCGCGTCGAGCACGTTCAGGGCAGCCTCTGGCGAGGCAGAGATTCGCTCATAAGCGCCGCCTCGTGAATCGATATTCGGGGGCCTCGGCAGGCGGTGCATATGTACAGACTGGGTCCCCCAGGGCCCGAATCTCTCTATACCCACCGCCCGTCGAGGTCCCCGAAAGGTCGATCCCCCAGGCGCTGGTTGTGGCGGAATCCCCGCCCCGGACCTCCGGAGCCTCGCGGCCGGAGACCGCGTCCGCAGACTCGCGGCCTTCCGCCAACGCCACGGCCGCCAGAGCGGAGCCGCCCGCAAGCGGCGCGGCGCCCGGCGGCGCGGCTGCTGGCTGCGGCGGCGCCGCGGCTGCCAGCGGAGGGGTCGCAGCCGACGGAGCCGACGCGGCGGCTGCAAGCCCCACCGCCGCAGGCCCCAGCGCGGCGCCTGGCGGCACGGCCGCTGCAGCTGGCGCCTGGGCGGAAGACGCCGCCGACACTGCGGTCGCCTGTGGCAGAGCAGAGGGCGGCGCAGCCACGGCGGGCGGCGGAGGGGCCGCCGCCGCCGCCATGGCGGCCGCGGGCCCGACCGCCGCGGGCGGTGGAGCGGTGGGCGCTGCCATGTCCTGCGACGCCGCCGCCCCTGGCGCGCTGGGCTGGGCGTGCTGCGCCGCGGGCGCGGCCGCGGCGTCGGCCGCGCCCGCCTGCGGCGGCGGTGCGTGCGGCGGCTCTGGCCCCGACGAGGCCGAGCCGCGGCCGCGGGGCGCCCCGCGCCGGGCCCGCGCCCAGGCGCCAGCGAGCGCCGCCGGCGCGGCGGCGGGCCGCCCTCGCCGCCGCGGGGCGGCCCTCGCCAGCGCGGCGGGCGCCGGCGACGCGCCGTGGAGCCCCGCGGCAGCGGGCCCGGCAGCTCTGGCGCGCGCGCGCGCGGGCCGCCCCGCGGATTGCACGCCGAGGGCCAGCGCGCCGCCCCTGTCGGCGGGGGGCATCGCGTCCCCGGCGCGCCCGCGACCCAGGCTCCCGCGGCCCACTGGGGCGCTGCGCAGCCAGGGCCGCTGTCGGCGCGATCAGCATCGGCGTCGTCGCCGTGGGCGGCGTCGGTGGCGTCGTCGGCAGCATCGGCGGCGGCGTCGGCGGCGGAGGAGTCCGGGGTGTCGGAATCGCCGTCAACAGCGTTGTCGTCGGCGTCTGCGGCGGCAGCAGCGTCGGTGTCGGCGGCGGAGTGTGCGCCGTGGTCGGCGTCGATGCACTTGCCAGAGAGGAGGGGAGACGAGAGGAGAGGAGAATAGAGGAGACGAACAGAAAGCGAAAGAGGAAGAAGAGGATTGGAAGAGGAGAGGAAGGGCGGAAGGTGGGGGCACCGGGCAAACGAGGGGGGAGGCAGGGCAACCATAATCCTCCGTTCCCCCCCCCTCCTCCTCCTCCTCCTCCTCCTCCTCCTCCTCCTCCTCCTCCTCCTCCTCCTCCTCCTCCTCCTCCCCCTCCTCCTCGCTCCTCCCTTTTCCTCCTCCTCCTCCTCCACCAATCCTTTTCCTTACAAAGAACTTCTCCCTATCGCACCCCGCGGCCAATTTTTTGGGGCGCCCCGGCATTTCGCCTGAGACTTGAATAGCAACAGCTTCACAGATGGAGGGCGGGTCCTTTTTATAATGTGGCTCTCGCCTTAGCGCGGCGCACATTCGTCGTGAACATTTGCAAAAGCTTCACGGATTGAGGGCGGGTGGTTTTGCAAATGTGGCTCTCGCCTTGGCGCGGCCCACATTGGTCTTAAAAAAACTGCAAGAGCTTCACGGATGGGGGCGGGTGGTTTTCCAAATGTGGCTCTCGCCTTGGCGCGGCGCACACTCGTTGTGGACATGTTGAAGCGTTTGACGGATCGAGGGCGGCTCCTTTTCAAAATGCGGCTCTCGCCTTAGCGCGGCGCACACTCCTTGTAAACAGTTGCAAGATTTTCACGGATTCCCATCACCAACGTTCCAGAAGTGGCGGTTTGAACAGATTCCGGATTACGGTGGTGCAACAATTATGTTAATTCGCTGAGCTGAAATCCCAAGAATGGCCTTCTGGCACGATTCTGGATTGACAAAACGCAGCAATCAGGTTGATCCGTGGCGTTGGAATCCCGAGAACAATGGTTTGGCATGCTTCAGGGTCTTCAAACGGTTGTCTTCCAACAAGGCAGCACCTTCAATGGAAATGCACCGCTATAGGGGCCTATGAAGAGGGAACTTTGAGGGAGGCTTATCCTCCCAACATCGTTGATGACTCTTGGGTTTACACTGGTCCTCCTCCTCATCCTCCTCCTGGTCATCGTCATCGTCGTCGTAGTCGTCGTCGTCATCGGCCTCATCGGCATCATCATCATCATCATCATCATCATCATCATCATCATCATCATCATCATCATCATCATCATCATCATCATCATCATCATCATCGTCATCATCATCATCATCAGCATCAGCATCGTCATCATCATCGTCACAATAAGCATAATCAGCATCAGCATCCTTAGCAGCATCATCATCATCATCATCATCATCATCAACATCAGCAGCATCATCATCATCATCCTCATCATCAGCATCATCCGTATCATGATCATAATCATAACCACCACCACTACCACCACCACCACCACCATCATAAGCATCATCATCCTCATTATCATTATCATCATCAGCAGCATCATCATTAGCATCACCATCATCATCATCCTCATCGTCATCAGCAGCATCATCTTCATCACCATCCGCATCATGATCATAATGGCCGTAATCATCATCATCATCATCGTCATCATCATCAGCATCATTCCATTCATCATCATCACCACCACCGAAATCACCAACATCATCATCATCATCATCATCATCATCATCATCATCATCATCATACTCATCATCCGCATTATCGACACCGTCATCGTCATCATCACAATCACCATCAGCAGCAGCACAAATATCATCATCATCACCATCATCGTCATCACAACTACCACCACCCTCAGAATCATCAACATCATCATCACCCCGCATCACCATAATCACATCATCATCACCAGCACAATCACCATGAACCATCAGATGTAGCATCATCATCAATTCAATCAACAGCATCACCCTCATCATCGTCATCATCATCATCATCATCATCATCATCATCATCATCCGTATCATCATCATCATCATCACAACCATCAGCATCATCATCATCATTATCATCGCCAGCATCGTCAACATCGTTGCATCACCGTAACCTATCATAATCACTACCATCATCACCATCATTGCCCCCACCAACATCAGTACCATCATAATCACCACAACCACCATCACCACCACCACCATCATTATCATCACCATCAATAGCAAACTCATCATCATTATCGTCGTCATCGTCATCGCCATCGTCATCATTATCATTATTATGATTATTATGATCATCATCATCATCATCATCATCATCATCAGCATCATCATCATCATCATCATCATCGTCATCGTCATCGTCATCGTCATCGTCGTCGTCGCCAACATCATCGTCATTATCAGCATAAACATCAGCATCAGCACCACCATCTTCATCACCATCATCATTATCACCACCACCATCATTACCATCATCACCACCACCTCTTATCCTCATCCTCATCCTCATCCTTCTCCTCCTTATCACCACCACCACCACCACCACCATCATCATCATCATCATCATCATCAGCTGCAGCAGCAGCATTATCATAACTCTACTTCTCCTCGTAGACCTCATTATGTTTCTACTCTCTCCTCCTCTGCCTTCTGATACTCCTTACCGTCTATCCTCCTCTTCCAACTCCTCGGCCTCCTACTCCCCCTCATCATCCTTCTCCTCCACTGGCTGCCCGACTACGGCTCCTTCGACCATGCAATATGGCACTCCAAAGGCGCGTCCGTGCTCGTTCGATGGCTGAACAAGCGCGGAGTTCTGCCTCATATCCAAACTTCCTTGAACTCTACTACCCGTGCGAAACCAACCGCGAGACCGCCACCAACCGGCATCACCGACGCCACGGACATGCAACCGTTCGCCTCGGCCATGCAACAGAGCGGCCGTGCCGACACACCACCACGATCTTGACCTTTATCACTTGCAGCGACGCCGGCCACGGCGTCCAGCCCAAGCTATCCCCGAACGCCGACCACCTCGCCCTACGGGTGACGCATCAGGTCCGCCGCTCTGCTCACACAGCGCTCTGGACGTCCCATGGACGACGCGCCAGAAGCCCTCCACGCGAGGCGAGCGACCGCGCGCATGCGGTGGCTCCAGCAATCACGACAGGCCCGACTGGGCAGCGAAGAGGCCGACAGCGTCGACGTCGGCGCGCCGTCCCACCGTGACTTCACCAAGCTCAGGAGGAGAAAAAACACACAGACACGATTGATCGTCGATTCCCCGGAAAATATGGGAAAATATGGGCAGTGGGGGGGAAGACAGACACCCAGAAAAGATGGGAAAATGTGGGGAATCTTCTTATATTTGTGTATTTAGTTGTGTGTCTCAGGGCCCATTTCACAAACAGCACTTCACGAGCGCGGGAGGAAGCTGCTTACCGTGTGCGGCGGTTGTGCAGCTTGCGCACCTGCACGAAAGCAGCGCGCCCTGCCCTGCCAATCTTGCACCCCCCCCACACGGCCTTCTCTCCCCGGCACTTTTTACGGGGGACAGGCCAGGAGCTTGACCACACCCGACACACATGGTGGATGTGTTCCACCTCCCACGCCTTCTGGGCTTTCCAGCCCCGTGTGAGGAGCAAGTCGGGATGAATCACCCATCGAGGCGAGTCCGCCGGCAATGACGCGAGCGAGGTACTCTGGCTTGGACGTGCGCCCTGGCGCGTGCATCCTTCGATGGGGCCTCTGTGAAGAGGAAGGCGTCCTCGACCCGCTCGACGTCGAGGGGTAGCCTGAGGGCCAACGGATGTGGGACCACCGCAGAGTCAGGGTGGCCTGCTTCACCATCGCACGAGACTTTCGGCGCCACGAACATACATATTGAGACAGACGCACCCCGAAGAACTTCGCATGCACCTCCAAGGAGGGTGGCGGTGCAGCAAGTCGCTCGCCCTCAAGTGGTGATTTGCGCACGGCCACCCTCCCCTGAGGCCGAGGAGCAATCCACTGGAGGGTGTCTCTGTCTATAGATGTGTGTGAATTTGTGTATACATATATATATATATATATATATGTGAAGGGGACCGGGGACACACAAATGAATACACACAAATGAAATGATTCCCCATACTTTCCCATATTTTCTTGGTTTTTGTCTTCCCCCCCACTTCCCATATTTTCCCATATTTTCCTGGGAATCGACGATGGATTGTGTCTGTGTGTTTTTTCCCCTCCTGAATATGTGGCGGGCTGCCGGCGCGAGGCTGCAGGGCAGGGGGAGCTCCGCCGGCGCTCGAGGACCGCCCCCCACGCCGCCCGCCGCGGCGCCGACGGGGGGCCGCACGCGCGAGGCGCGGAGGCGGCGCGCGGCGGGGCCCCCCTGCGCGGAGGCGCGGCGGGGAGGCGCGCGGGCCTGCGCCGCCAGGGCTCGGAGGGAAGGCTCGGAGGCAACTCGGCTACACGCAGGAGTGACCCTGGGCAAGAGTGACCTTTGGTGCGCGGCGTTTGGGGGGCCGCGGGGGGGCCAGAAGCAAGCGCGCAAGCCGCTGCTACTGCGCCGTTGTCGGCCATCTGGGGACCCGTCTGTCCCCGCACCAAGGGTCACTCCGGCGAAAGGTCACTCCCGGGGGCCTCCCCGTTACCCTCATTGTCGGCTCCTGCGAGGCGGCGCTCGTCGGCGCGCTGGCCGACGCCGATCGACGCTGAGCCGACGCCAAACCGACGCCGGAGGCGGGATCAAGAGGGCATAGCAGGCTCCCATGACGTGCTGCCGAAGGATGGCTTGGGCACCGCCTGGCCATCGCTCGGACGTCCATTCCCTGTGTTTTTTTCGGTTTCCTGCGTGGCTTTTTCGCCAGATGATCAAGGATGCTCCTCGATGGCCCTCGCCGAAGGAACAATGCACACGTCCGAGCGATGCCAAGGCCGAAGGATGGCGTGGGCGCCGCTGTCAGCCGTGCCTCGCCTGGCCCCGGCGGGCGCGAGCCCCGGGGCAGGCGCGCGGTCAAGCGGGCTCGGAGACCCGGCCCGGAGCGGGGCGGCGCGGAAGGGCCTCGGCCCTGAGCTCGGGCAGCTTTTGAGGCGGTCTGGCCTGCACCTTCGCGAGCCCCGGGGGGGGAGGCGAGACGGGTCCAGACCTCCCTCGCGTCGTGAAAAGAAAATTCACGACGGGAGGCTTTGCTCATCGTTCGGCCTCCTGGGGGCCCTTATCAGGCCCCAGGGCCGTCAAGAAACGGCCCAGGACGAGAAACCAGTCCCGAGAAAAATGGGTCCAGAACTCTCTGGGGGTCGACGCTGTGAAAGAATCACGTCGGGAATCTGGGGGGCAGGCATTCTCAGAAGACGGCGGGGCTTCTCGGAAGCCCTCCGACCTTCTGGTAAGCCTCGTGTGTCTTCGGGCAAAAGGCCCGAGGCCGTCCGAGTCTTCCGAGAAGGCCCGCCCCGTCTCGCTTCCCCCTGCAAGCTCTCCACCGACCAGGTGACGGCCTGAGCGGCAAAGCGCTCCCCCCGATGACGGCCGAAGTGCTCTATCTCTCTCTCTCTCTCAGGTCGGGCAGTCGGCCCGCCGCACTCCGCCTCCGCCCTCCCGCTCCCGCTGCCCACTGCCACCCGCGTCATGCTCCTGCTCGGACACTGTGGAACGGCGTCCGCACAGCACGCACGCACACCGGGGCCAGAAACGACTAACAACCCTTCTGCGCCTCAGAGCTGTAAGAGCGCCCACCCGCCTTAAAAGACCTGGCCTATGACCTCCCCCGCCCTCGATCGCACCTGAGGGCAACTCGACCTGTTGCCAGGCCGTCTGACCCAGGGGGAAGGTACGGCGGGTATCCCAAAATCCCTCCTCCTCATCCTCGCCCTCCTCTCCTCCTCCTCCTCCTCCTCCTCCTCCTCCTCTTCCGCCTCCTCCTCCTCCTCCGCCTCCTCTCCTCCTCCTCCTCTCCTCATCCTCCTCCTCACCCCCCCCCCCTCCTCCTCCTCCTCCTCCTCCTCCTCCTCCTCCTGCTCCTCCTGCTGCTCCTCCTCCTCCTCCTCATCTTCTTCCTCTTCCTCGTCCTCTTCCTCCACCTTCTCTTCCCTTCCCTGACCTCCTCGTCTTCTTCTCCTGCTCCTCCCTCCGCCTCCCTCCCTGTCCCTGCTCCTCCTCCTCCCATAAGTATGCTTATTCTTAAGATTCGTACGAGTATCCGTACGATTAGGTCTTCGTGCTATTACTATGATAATGTTCAGCATTAGTACTCGTACAATTCGTATTCGTCGGATGGCTGTTAGTATGCTTGGTAGTATCATGACTCGTCTTCTGAGCCGTCTTAGTATCAGTCTTGTTATTATTGTTCGTATTAGCAGTATGCTTCTTATTATGATTCGTATGTTTCTTCATCATATCAGTGTTATTGTCCTGCTTCGTCATAGTATTATCTTCGTATTCATATGAGTTTCCGTTTTACCCGTAGTATTAGTATGCGTAGTCTTCTTCTCATTGGTATGAGCATGTTTCGTATTAGTATTATGCTTCTCATTATTGCGGTTGTCAGTTTACGTCGTACTGTTAAGAGTAGTATTCAGATGTTTCCTATGACTCGTCGTAATATTGTTATTCGTTGTCCTCCTCCTCCTTTTCCTCCTCCTCCTTCTCCCCCTCCCCCTCCCCCCCTCCCCCCACATCCTCCTCCACCTCCACCTCCACCTCCTCCTCGTCATCATCCTCTTCCTCAACCTCCTCCTCCTCCGCTTCCTCCTCCATCTTCTCCATCCCTCTTCCTTATACATCACTGCTCCCTGTTGCACCCCGGGGGCCGATCCGAGGGGCGGGCGTGGCGTGTAGCCCAAGACTTCCCCACCGCGTATGATCCTGAGGCTTGAGAGTTCCAACAAATTCGCGGATGGACTGCGGTCCACTTTCGAACCGTGGCTCTTCTGCTCTGACTACCTACCAGACCACCCCAACCCAACCCGAAGACCCGAATTTCGGGTTGGGGGGGGGTACGGGTTCCTTATGTGTTTTCTCGATGTTACCCGACCCCCCCCCAACTGGAAATGGACGGCAAATCGAGACCTTCGGGTTGGGTTGGGGTGGTTTGGTGGGTGGTGATGTTCGCGCCTCGCACATTCATCATGAACTTGCGCCATGGTTTCACGGATGGACGGCAGGTTCCTTCTCGGAGTGCGGCTCCCGCCTCCGCGCCGCGCGCACTCCTCTGAACATGTGCAACGACCGCAAGGATTCGCATGGGTAACGTCCGAGCTTTCAGGGCACAATGGTCATATGTTGACTCCCGGCGTTGACATCCCAGGAATGGCGTTCTGGCACGGTTCAGGATCGTCAAGACGCCATACGAATATAGCCATTCGACGCGTTGAAGTCGCAGGAATGGCGTTCTGGCGTACTCTCTAATCTTCGAACGATTATCTTCCAATGGGGCACTTCCCTCCGTGACAATGACCCCTGTAGGGGCCTAGGAGAAGAGAACATGGAGGAAGGGTTCTTACAGATGAGTCATCGGTTTGGAGTGGTCCTCCTCCTCCTCGTCCTCCTCTTCCTCCTCATCATAATCACCATCATCATCAGCATCATCGTCCTCACCATCTTCATCATCATCATCATCATCATCATCAGCAGCAGCAGCAGCATCATCCTTCCCACTTCAACTCACGACGACGACCCCCATATCCCTCTCAAGCTGCGCCGACCGGCGCCTCGGCGCTGCGCTCGCTGAGCGCCAGCCCCTGGCGGCGCAAAAAGGGGGGAAGCGTTGTTCTGTCAGAGGGGGGTCGTCTGGTGACCATGAAGTGTGGCGAGCGCACGTAAAGCATCACAATTCAAAAGGCACAAATCCGCCTATCCGGCGTGTGAACTACAAGGGGCCTCAGCAAGAGCTTCAGCTCGGAGCCTAAGCGAAGAGTTTCAGCTCTGCTTGGAGGGGGTCGCCGGGGTGGTTTTGCCGGGGAAGGGGGGACGGGGGGGGGCATCTGGTTGATGACTTGCGCATCTGGACCCCTCCTGGAAGAAGGGGGAGGGGGGAGGGGGCGGTCCCCCACCTGGCGTTTTCTCAATGGTTTGCGCATTCCCAAAATGTTTTCGGGGGGTCCCAGGGAACCCCTTCAGATCTAGCCGCTACCGCCCCCAAGACCTTCCCCTCGGAACCCTCCCCAGACCCCCCCAGGGACCGCTTCAAGCACCCCCCCAAAGGAGAAGAAAAAGAACCGGAAGACTCGAAGAGGGAGGCCAGAGCCGCGAAGATCACCGAATCCGGAACCCCCCCGGATCGGCGGCACTGGCCGGAGGCCATTACTATAACACAACATTGTACAACACATCGAAACCAACGCTGAAGCTGTCAAGCATGTGAGACATTCGCTCCGTAAAAAGATGCACGACATCAGGCGAGAGGGGGCATTACTGATCATAGCGTGTGAGCAGCATGTGTTAGACAGCGTGAGCCCCAAACAATAACCCAATACACCCTGGATGTGCAAGGGTTGAGGCGTGACCATGTGTTGCAAGCTATATGGTGCAAGGTATGCTGCGCAAGCTATGTGGTGCAAGCTACGCGGTGCAATCCACGTGGTGCACGCTGCGTAATGCAAGCTGCGTGGTCCAAGCTATGTGGTGCGAACTTGGTGGTGTAAACCGCGTGGTGCGACCTACGTGGTGCATGCTATGGTGTGAGATATGTGGTGAAAGCTAGGTGATGCAATCTGTGCACTCCCAGCGATGTGGTGCAAACTATGTGGTGTAAGCGATGTGGTGCAAAATACGCGGCGCACCCTATCTGGTGGAATCTACGTGGTGTAATTGGCTGTTACAAACGAGATGACACATACCGTACTCTTGCAAACATCCCACCCACCCACCCGCAACGTGGTTTGCGAAACCAATGCGGTGGCGGTGGCGGTGAATGCTTGGCGTTGGCTGGTGCATCTCTGCGACCGCACCGACCCAAACGCGCACTCGCGCAGCGGCCAGGTACTTTGGCGCGACCGACGCGGCCGCGGTGGCGCTGACCGCTGGGCATTTCCCAACGGGTACTTCACTGCGAGTGCGACTTGGGCGGGCGCGGTACCATGGCAACGTCGACAACGGTAGACACGATGATGATACTAGCGAGGCTGGTGACGACGTTGACAACGACGACGGCAAGGCCAGTGCGGGCGCTGATGCTGACCACGCCGACGACGATGACGTCGCCGCCGCCGCCGCCGCCGCCGCCGCCGCCGCCGCCGTCGTCGTCGTCGTCGTCGTCGTCGTCGTCGTCGTCGTCGTCGTCGTCGTCGTCATCGTCGTCGTCGTCGTCGTCGTCGTCGTCGTCGGCGTCGAGAGAGAGAGAGAGAACGCGGGCTCACGGGCCTCGAAGTCTGAAGCGCACACATTAACATGCATATATACACGTATGAATTCACACATATCATACATGTATATATATATACATATGTCCACGCTTGTAAACCACCAGGACTGCATTGCCGCTTCGCGACATGCACATTGGTCGTTCAAGTTTGGCATGCAGGCGGAACGAGAGAGAGAGAGAGAACAATGAAAAAATGGCTCAACCATAACGATAACTCCCTATTGCCGTATGCGTCACCGTCGTTGTACTCATTTGCTTCCTTCTCCTCCCCGCCGTTGTAAACATTTGCGTCCTTCTCCATCCCTCGTCTTTCCTATTATTCATTTTGTTATTCGTATTATTAGTATTACTAAATCTAATCATATTACTATGATTATCAGTAGTATTATAATGAGTATTAGCATTGTTATTACTATTATTAATGATAATAGTATTAGTATTATTATTGTTATTATTATTATTAGTAGTAGTAGTAGTAGTAGTAGTAGTAGTAGTAGTATAACTATTACTATTATTAATATTATTATTAGTAGTAATATTATTATTATTATCAGTCATTCTCGCCCTTACCTGCGAACCCTCCCCCGTCCTCCTCCGCTGTTGTTTTTCGGAAGCTACTTTCTTGAGGGTCTCGAGCTTTGGGGGGGGTCTTGGGGGCCTCTGGAGGCCGCCTGGGCGCCTTTGGGGGGCCTGTGTGGGCTTCTTGGGACCACCCTTGCTGCTAACTGCGGTCCCCCTCAACGACCAAGTCACGATTTGGAGTGCTTCGGGGGGCGTCTTGGGGCCATCCTGGGCCGTTATGGGGCTCCCTTAGGACCATCTGGGGGCCCTGTGGGGCCGTATAGGGGCTCTCTTGAGCTGTCGCCTTGGAACGATTATCAGGGCCTCTAGGGCGGTCTCGGACACCCGAAGACCGAAGAACCGAGCATTCCCAAATCGTACATCACCCAACAAGAATTCTGCGTTTTTTCATTGGGGCCCTTGGGGGTATTCGTTGGGTCGTCTTCTGGCGTCCTGGGGGTGTCTGTGTCCGCTTTGGGCTCTCGCGGGGCCATTCGGTCGCCCTTTTGACCGCTTCGGGCCCGTTGGCTGGGCCAGGGATCCGGGGTCCGGTTTTTTGGGGGGGCCAAGCTCTCCCCACCCTCTGGGGCAATAATATAACTAATCCCAGAAAAAATGAGTCGCGAGCGGGCTCCTGGGAGTGCCCAAGACGGATGGCCCCAAGACCCAAGACGGCCCAAGGAAGGCTGAAAAGGTCCCGAAGAGCCCCCCAAGAGGCCCCAAGGGGCCCCAAGATGGCCCCAAGAGGGACTCCAGACAGCCCAAGAGGTCCCCAAGACAATCCAACGGGCCTCTGGACTGGCCCCAAATAGCCTCAACAAAAGACCCCCAAGACTGCCCAAAGGGGCCCAATACGGCCCCACAAGGCCCCAGGACGGCTCAAGAGGCCCCCAAGACCGCCTGAAAACGGCCCAAAGAGACCCCGAAGAGAGGCCAACTCGCAACCTTGGATTAGCATGGCGACGATCAGATGACCTATGTATAAATATATATATATATATATATACTAGAACCAACGCGCGCGCTTCGCGCGCGCTCAGGTTCTTTTTTGGGGGAAACGACTGCAGCGGACCACGCGGGTCCAGTCGGTCGGTCAAGGCCAGGTTCGAGCGCAGCTCTTCAATATCAACTCAACACATGCAACAATAAGCGACAAGTCAACAAGCAACAACAGGTTCTAGCCCAGGCCGGGGGGGCGCTGGAAGATCTTGGACAGCGCTATCAAACACAGGCGCGTGACATAGTCGTGCCTCCTGAGGGCCTCTTGGGAACCTCTTGGGACTTCGTGGGAACAATTGGCTGTTGGAGGCACCTCTTGGGTGCTTCTTGGGGGGGCGTCTTGGGGCTTCTTGGGGTCCCTTGGGGGTATCGTCGGGGTTCTCCGGGCAGTCGGAAGGTGATGTTCTGCAATATGAAGCCGTCATTGGCCGTCTTGGCTGCGTGGAGGCCAGAATTGAGGCCACCTGGGGCCGCACTGATGCAATCCCGAAGCCTCCCGGGTGCCTCCCGGGAGGCTTTTGGGGGCCTCGTCGGCCCGCTTGGGGACTCTTGGGGCCCCCTGTGGGCCTCGTAGGGCGGAAGGCTCTGCTGTTGGGTTCGCGTTCCCCTTCTTTGGGCCTCTCCTGGGCCCGTCTTGGGGCCCTCTCGGGCCGTCTTGGACGCCTCAGGCAACGTCTTGGGGCTCTCTTGGAGGCGGCTATCTTGGAGCGATCTTGGGGGCCTCTTGGGCCGTTTTTGGGCGTCGGGATGCCAAAAAGCAGATAACTCTAAAATCTAAACACAATGAGTTGTGCCTCTACAGGCCTTCCTGGGAGGCCTCTTGGAACCCCTTCGGCCCTCCGGGGAGCTTCTTGAGGGCCTCTTGGGTCCTACTGGGGGCCTCTTGGGACTTCCTGAGAGCCTCTCGGGGTGGAAGGCTCGGATTGTCGGTTCGACTTACCCCTCTTGGGCCCCTCTTGGGGCAGTCTTGGTGCCCTCTCGGGCGCCCCAGGCACCCTCTTGGGGCCCTCGTTGGCTGTCTTGGGGCCCTGTCGAAGGCCTCTTGGGCTATCTTGGAAAGGTCTCGGAGGCCTTTGGGGCCGTCTTGGAGCGTCGGGACGCCACCAAGCTGACACCTCGAAAATCAATCAAACACGTATGGCAAGACAACAGTTTTTGCCTCTTAGGGCCTTGGAACCTCTTCGGCCCCCCGGAGCGCTTCTTGGGGTCTCTTGGAGCCTGTTGGAGGCTCTCGGGGCCTCCTGAGAGCCTCTCGGGGTGGAAGGCTAGGATTTGTTGTTCGTATTACCCCTCTTGGCTCCCTCTTGGGGCCGTCTTGGGGCCCTCTCGGGCCGACATGGGCGCCTCTGGCGCCGTCTTGGGGCCCTCTTGGGCTGTCTTGTGGCCGTCTTCGAGGCCTCTGGGGCAGTCTTGGAATGGAGATTGGGGCCTCTTGGGCCGTGTGGAGCGTCGGGAATCTGAAAAGGCGAGAACCCGAAAATCCTTCAAAACCCAACGGCGAAATAAACTATTTGTGCCTCCTGGGGCTCCGTGGGAGGCATTTTAGAAGCCTCTTGGGGCGTCTTGGAGGCCTCTTAGGCAGTCAGGAGCTAATTCTGGAGTGATCTCGGGCCGTCATTGGTCGTTTTCGCGGTCTGGAAGCGCCATTTCTAGCGATCTGGGGTCGTCCCCGGACGATTTTAAAGAGCCCTCGGCGCCGCGGCAAGGCCCCCGAGGCCCCCAGTCCCAGGGCCCCGACCCGGGCCCCGCCTCATCCCCTAGGCAGGGCGTCCCTGGGCCGTCTCGGCGCCCTCCTGGGGGGCAGTTGAAGCGATATTT